TGCTCAGAGCCGTATATGTAGAGAGTTTGGCCATTCGTTGGGAAGTATAGGAGACAAATGAGGAGGCGTCATTGGCCGAAAGCGGGCTGGGCGTGTTCCAGGGCGTCTTCAGAAATTCGAATGTGACCAACCAGAAGCCGGAAATAATACCCTGGTGGTGGCCGCGAGAAACAAACCTGATAACTGCATCGGAGTAACTCTCGATGGCTGAAAATATGGTACACGTGATGTTTCAATCACGCTCATCCAAAATGATGGTGGAAGAATGCGACTAGCGGAACGATCAATATAATCCGTACGCCAAACGCCGAGCGCCGGGAATCTGCCGTCAGAGCGGTCACGCTCTGTCCGCGCAAAACAGAGTTGAGCGGCGCATTCGTTTCTTACATCTTTCTGCATGATCATGATGAAAACAACACGTGCACCCTATTTTCAACCACAAAGAGTTACTACACTTCACTCTTACGCACTTATTAAAACCATTTACGAACATAGACCTTCGATGATCGATCGGCTCAGAACTGTTTCTCGCTACCACCGCTAGGGGATTCTTTTCGGCTTCTGGTTGGTCAAGAGAGCATGCCAAGCCCTCTTTCCGACTCTGCCACACTCCCTGGCTCTGCCCGCGCCTCCCATTGACCAAACTCTCTACATATACGGCTCTGCCGCTGCTCAGCCTGTCTAGTGTCTCGGCTTCACTGAGCGACACAAATTATTTCTGCTTACACAAGGAATCTAGGGTGTTATGAGCGCAGGTCAACTCTTTATCCTGAAAACAAGAACGGCGTTTAGCGTAATACTTACTCCAGGAGGCACATTTTAATTCTGGAGCGAAACCGAAACTAACCTCCTATTTTGGATTTAATTTTTCGATATAGGTCTTAATTTCAAATTCTTTCATAACTCCAGATGTGTCTCGCATCGTAATTATTTAGTTAAAGAAGTTGTTCACGGAAACTTTATTTAGTGACACACATGTCTGATTCAGGCACTTCAAAATATTTTGGAGATTTCAGTGTCCCTTTAAAGCCAGGGTCTTTCATACACCTTAGAGGTAACATAGAATATTGTAGTTGATATAAAAATCAGTGCTGATATCTGTGCGTTCTCACTGCCTTTCTCGCTCAGATAATTGTCATGTGAAATAATGAACTGTGGGCCTTTTATTGTTTTTTTTTTTTAGGTATTTAGATGATTAATTGCCTTAACATTATTCCCAGCACAAGAATAACAAAATAAAATTAATTTTTAACGCTGTTCTCACTACACCAACCCAAAGACAGAATCCGAGTCAGGCAGCTGAAGTGTGTGTATTTTTTTTATAGCAATGCGTGACGCTTAGGACTTTACATTGCATCCAGTGTTTGACTGTTCGTCTATCTTGATAACAATGTCCGAGTTTTTCATATGCTAAAAGGAAAAACAAAAAATGATACCTTCCTGGAAAGACTATTATGGTTAAATGGCGCATTTTTGTGATTATGGTGTTAATTGGGAGCATAATACATTGCAGCGATTTGTATTAATAATAATAATATTTAAATTCAGATATTTTAATACGCAATTTTTCAAGCTCTAATATAATTTGTTGCGTATGATCTAATTTCAAATTCACGAAGAAGTATGACAATCAAAAGTGTGCTAATTATCATCAGTGTTGCCAAATGCAGCATTTTTATTTACCAAGTTATAAAATAAAAATAGTCTAAAATCAATTAAAACATTCTAGCTAATGTGAGAAATCCATGTAAAATTACATTATTTGTGGATAAAACATATTTTGCTATCGAAGTCGTGACTTTTGACAATCGGCAAGAGTTACAAAGTCATTGCCAAAATCCTTCCAAACCAAATGCCAAAAAATAAAAAGATTTTTGAATTTTTTTTTTAGTTATCAATCTTTTTATAACATTTAGTTACTTTCATTTTTACGCGCCGTCGTTTTGCCAATCTCAGCCTCTCCAGTTTGAAGGAATGCCTTTTTGCTTGCACGTCTGCTCAGTGCAGCACTTTGCGTTGGCAGCCGGTGGAACAGTTGCGAGTTTTAGTGTTGTGTATACGAGCAAAAGCAAGCGCTGCGTGTTTGCGTTAGCGCGTGCGCGGAGCTTGAAATTGCGATCTTGGATTGGCGCATGGCGATGAGGCGCACGCACAACGTGGGGCACGCAACTCTAACGCAAATGCACAGCACTTTCGTTTGCTTCTATAGGCAGTATTAAAGCTCTCTAAGAAGATGCAATTCCATATCGGCTGCAGCACTACGTTGGGACAGTGAGGAGCGTTGTTTGCGTTCGGAAATGACATTTTGCGAGCCATGATTGTGCGCAGTTCCGCCGTGCCCGCTGAGCAGGAGAATCAGGGGACTCTCACTAGAGCGCTTCCCGTTTCCGCCGCGGGAGGGCGAGCGTCGAGCTGGAGACACGATTAGTTGCGTGGTGCTTGCGCTCTTTCGGGAGCTCTTCCATTGGGCTCAGCTTCCTATGGGCTCTGAAAGTTACTTATTAATCCTGATTTTAAGAAAGCAAAGATTAATAACTATTTTTTGGAGCTTATAGGAAGTTCCCAAAAGAGCGCAAGCACCATGTCATAGGCCTGTGCACCGGTTAGAAATTGACAGCGGCGAGGCACCGAAGTCTTCCCTTCCGGTGGCGGCATGGAGAAGTCGCTGAGTAATAATGATAATAATAACTTTTTTTCAGAATCTTTATTTTTTTTTTTTTTTTATTAAATAGGACTTGAAAAAGTTTTTTTAAGTTTTCTTTTTTTTTTTTTTTTTTAAAGCAATATTTTAAATTATATTTCTTGCAAATAAACCAAAAAAAAAAAGTGTTCAGCCGGTGGCACGCCACGCTCAGTGTGCAGGTCCGGCATAACTTGCAGCGGCGCACAGGTCTACCACATGACTAGTGGCCAGTCACGTGCCACTATTCTGCAGGCTCCTGGGGGAACCAACTACAAATTCGTTTTGCGCTGTAAATATAGCTCTAAAAATTTTTTTTCCATTGTAAATTCATTTTATGACATACTTTTTCCATCCAAGCTGTTTAAAATTTTTTTCTCCTTTGTATATGTTTTTTAAAGAAAACAACCTAATCCTAGGACAAATTTATGTTGATCCGGAAGCGACCCGACATCAGGGATATGGGAGGGCCCACCGCACATCAGCTTTCTCAGAGAAGACTGGTTCACTGCAATATATGAAAGAAGCTCAGAGAATGACGAGGTCAAGAATATGTTTAGATTTCAAAGTGAGATCTAGCCTGGCTTCTAAATACACAGACAATTTTTATAAATTTATAAAAAAAGGTTGACCTATTATCGGTAATACCGTATTTGCTCGAGTAATAGCCACACTGTTTATGAACAAAGCCTGTGGGTCTGCTTTCCCGTGGAGCACGGGGAGAGCGTATCGCCGCAATCAGCAGAAAAAAGGCAGCGATTTACGGACCAGAGATAACATCTTCACACGAAAATGCTATCTCCTCAGATTGCATTTTTATGGAGAATAGTGTTCTCAATTTTGTTATTTGTTACATTTTTTATGCAGAATGCAATGATTGGCTGTATGTGTATTCTGCAAAAAAGTAGATGCAAGGACCTTGTTCCCATGAAGTGCGGCTATTACTCGAGCAAATACGGTACAGTTGAATCTCGTTAATTCAAACTCAAGGGGGACCGAAAATTTGTTTGAATAAAGCAGAGTTTGAACCACCAGGAGTTTCCTCCCATAGGGACGCATAGGATGGGACCTGCATGTTAGTTTGAACTATCCGAAAGTTTTAATTAAGAGAGTTTGAATTAATGTGAGTTGACTGTATATGGTAGATCACGCTGGAATACAAACTATAGTCCATTGCAGCTCAAGAAGGTAGGGCGAGGGAACGGGTAGTGGAGAAAGAGCGTGTGGAACGAGCACTGAAGACGGTAGGAAAGCACACTTTCCTTCTCTTGCTGACCCAGAAAAGTCAGTGCAAAGACTTTGTATCCGGGTGGTGCTGAAGAGAAGTGTGTGCAGCGTCACAAAGAGACAATGGGGTGATGTAATCTGTTTCCATGCAAAATTCTGTCCTAGACACCACCGCAACTAAGACCACCACCGACCCCAGGCACTGGACAATTAAGGATCATCCTGCCCTAGGCACCACACATACTAAGAGCATCACTCACCCTATAAAGCTACCGCATTTTAAAAAGTGTTTGGCAGAATGAGCAAACATGTAGCTGATTTTTTTCTAGAGTGTTTTCTTGGTTTGGCGTGGAATCCCGTGAACGCTCTCGAGAACCCTTGGGGGCCTGCGGACAACTGTTTGGGAACCACCGTCCTAGATAATATTAAGAAGTAAATTTTGGAGGCTTATGTTCAACACCCAGGAATTGCATCTGGAAAGCCCCAGCGAAGGACTGAGGATTCATTTCGACCACCTAGAGATCGTCCGACATGCAACCGAAATTAGTCACACAGCAACTTCTCTGCAATAAGCCACCGTCAGATTGCAGGCACCTCGGCCAGGATTCAAACCTGCCGAGTGGGAACCCATATGCCAGCACTTTGCCTCAGAACTATTGAGGCGGAGTTCTGGGTAACATTAGAGATTAGTTTCCTATCACCATTCCACCGTGTCCTTGCACACAGATAGGCAGATGAATTATGACTGTAGAAAGTGAAACCTTCACTTACACTAATAAACAACTAGCACAAGGTGATCTTTAATGCTCGTATGACTGCCTTCAAATAAAAGTGTGGGTACCATTATGGCGAACAAGGTTTCTACCATCGTCGCTACTTTGCTTCTTCTACGAGACTCAAGGAACTCAGATAAGCTAGCAGAGTTTTATATCCATTTCATTATTTCAGAATGTCAGTAATGAGCTATCCTTCTCATTGGACAATGTCAGAACCTGATTTCAGGCACCGTAAAGGCTGCAGGCCTAGAGGAGTCAGTTTTGTGCCACAACTTTAGCTCATACGAAAGCAAATGAGCAAACAGATGCTGCCCTACTTTGTTTGAAGCCCAGGTGAGGCACACGTTGAATAGGGGTATTGCGCTCCTTCATGAACTGGAAGAGACGTTGCAGAAATTCATCAGCACCGTTGCTCATCCTGTTCTGTGGAGCTGCAGGCACGGCGGGAGCGGAAGAAATGGCCAGGGGAGAATTGCCTCCCTCAGAGGACTCGGAGCCAGAGTTGTGCTTGTGGCTGCGCTTCTGCTGACGGCCCCTCTCTGGTGGAGCTGCAAAAACGCAGGCAAAATGTTTCTTCATATCGTGCTCTTCACACCACATAGAGTCAGGGGTCTTTCAGCCACCTTGCAAGCTAATGCGAAAGGCTGGATCACTGACATTCTTATGCGGACTATTATAACAAAACAGCCAGTGAGCTAATGATATCATATACAAAGTGCACAGTGGGATACCCATGGAGAAGTTTAATTTTTGGGAACAGTTTGTGCTGCAAAAGCTCTTCTCACAAATAAAAAGTTGGGAATACTGTAAATATTTTTACCTATCAAACAATTTTTTTTGTCGACGGGTTAAAGGTGGGCAAATTGGCTCATGCTTGTGCATAGAGCCAGCTGAACATACACACAAGATGTTCGATTTGTAAGTGGAAGAGATTTTTTTTTTTTAAAAGCGGACGAGAGTTAGACGAGTGCTGTCTCCACCATTATCAGGTGCGGAAGAAATTAGATGAGGGGATAATCGTCAAGATAAGTTGACTAATTAACTAAACCTTGTTAATTCACTTTTTAATTAGTATGTGTTTTAGGGGTAATGTTGCAATTGCAATATTGATGGCAATTACTATTGGAGGTAGACCATTTGAAAGGATTTGCAAAAAGGTATTGGTCTTTTACATATTAATCTATCAATTTTCACATTCTTTCGACAGATTTAAAAATTGCATGCGAAAAGAGCGCCGTAAGCCTTGCCCACAATGACGCTTAGAAGAGTGATATAGGCGTTTCAGTCACGTCGTCACCTGTGTGGTCGGCGCCACACCTTACAAGGAATGTACCATATTGATTTACATTTTATTTTATTTTGCTGTAGATGCCGGTCACTTACAGGTCTGTACATATGTCCACCTTCTCGACAAACTCTCCCTGGAGCCAAATGCCCTTGCACAAACCGTGTGATAGCCTCTCCATGCCCTGCTGGACACACTTTATGAGAGTGCCTCACACCCATGCCTACACAGCTGCTTCCGGCTTATTAATGACTGGGATATGGTGTCCTTGCAGGGTTTTTTCACTGCACCTAACAGGTGATAAGACACTGGGGACTTGGTCAGGCCATACCCATGCACAACAGAACGTCTGACTGGTTGTACAATGTGTCAGCAAGACGGCTGAACCCAATCAGACACTGGCCTCACGTGAATGCACATGACACAGTCACTGACCGGCGCCTGACACATCGTACGGCCAGATAGACTTTTGGTCGAGCATGGGTATGGCCTGACTGGGCCCCCAGTGGTTATTACCTGGAGGGTGGCATGAAAAAAAACAACCTTGCGAGGACGTCGTTATGTGGTCATTAATAAGCTGGAAGCAGCTGTCCAGGCGTGGGAGTGAGGCACACCGAAAAAGTGGCTCCATCAGACCACAGAGAGGCTGCTGCACATGTGGTGCAAGGGCATTTGGCTCCAAGGAACGGCTGTAGAGGAGGTGGATATACGTACCCTCCAAGTGACCACTATCTGCAGCAAAAATATAAATTGCAAATCAATAGGGTATGCCCCTCATAGATAGGGACAACATGATTGAAACAACTACTTCACTCTAGCAAGCCTCATTGTGGGCAGGGCTTGCAATCATTTTTTTAGTGCAATTTTTAAGTCTGGTGAAGAAACGTGAAAACTGATTGATTAATATCCAGAAAACTGTCAACTTTTTCACAAATTCTTTAAAGTGGTCTGGCCTGGAATAGTAATTGCTGTCAATACTGCAATTCCAACATGATCCATAAAAACAATAACTAAAAGTTAACAGATTTCAGTTAATTAGGAAATTTACGATTACTATGATCCTCTTGTCTAATGTCTGTTGAGCTTTATAAATGCATAGTGAAGATGACACTACCGTAAAATCCCGTAAGGACGCCCGCCCCCGAGAGATCGCCCATCCCGTTATTCTGGCTAAAATATCTGTAACACAAAACTTCCGAAACATCGCCCACCCCCCGATTCCCGTTGGACGTAAAGCGATGTAGAACGGGAATTGCGCATCAACGGCGCGATCTGCGATACCGGTACGTCCGAGAAGCAAGTTCATATAGAGTTTCCGCGGTTTTGTCTGCGATCTGCGCACGTGATATCGGCTCCCGTAATACGCGAGTTGTTCCCGCGTGTATATTGCATCGTGAAATGCGAATCTGCGGCGTCCGCGATTTGTGGTATCCGTTCCCGAGTTCATAGCGGATTCCCGTGTTTTTGTCCGCGATTTGCGGGCGCGATAGCTGTAACACGGGCATGTTGTTCCCACGCGTATGTTGCATCGTGAAATCCGATTCTGTTGCGTCCGCGATCGGCGGTATTCGTTTCCGTGACATGAGAGTTTGTAGCTTATTCCCGCGTTTTTGTCAACGATCTACGCGTGCGATATCGGTTTCCGTGACAGGCAAGACTAGAAGCGAGTTCCCGCGTCTTTATTTCACCATGAAACCTGAATCTGCTGTGTCCGCGATCTGCGGTATCCGTTCCCGTGAGATGCGAGTTCTCGGCGGGTTTCCGTGAGTCCTTCGCACCGTGAAACGCGAATCTGCTGCGTCGGCCACTTGTGGTATCGCCGCTTCGCGGCGTCCGACTATTCGCTAAAGTGTCATTCGGTGAAACGTGGGCGCCCGCTAAAACGTCATTCGATCAAATGAGTGCCTCCCCCTTTCCCGTGACACAGGAGTTTGTAGCGATTACCAGCGTGTTTATCGCATCGTGAAACGCGAATCTGCCGGGTCTGTGATCTGCAGTATCAGTTGCCACGTCACGTGGTTTGCGCGGGACCCTTGGTGCTTATCATTAATATTTGAAATTTTGCTGTGGCATCCCCAAAGATAGCACACCCCCATGTTTTTCACCATTTATCTCTTTATTTTGATTGGGCGTTCTTACAGGATTTTACGGTAATCTAACTCTCACCCCTTTTTAAAATCTGTTTTAATGAAAATTAGACACCCTGTATAGAGAAAGGCAAGGAAACTGGGAGAAATAGGCGATCGTGAGACTAACAACTGAAGTATTATTAGGATATTACCCCTCCCTCTACTCTGTTTCTACTACTCTCCGGTTTTAAAATTGTAAAATGTGGAGTTGCTGCATTTTTTATTTCCCCAAAACTTCCCGCAAGAATTTTCTTTTTTTTTTCGTGCAGCGCAACGGTTAGGACACTAATACAGTTATCGGTCCTTCCGTCAATTGCGAGTGCCTCCGGTAATTTGCACACAGGCTTGTCCAAGTTTTTTTCCAACGATGCTAGCGGTGTGCAACCTTGCAGTGCATTGGCACCCTCAACAATGGGCTGGTAGGTGTCCTCCTGCTGAGGTTGTTCAATGAAGCAGCATGTTCTTTCGTGCTTTCAATGCAATGGCCAGTTTGGCCTATATAGCACCTACCACACGATAATGGGATGCTGTATACAACTCCTTTCTCGCGTGCGAAATATTTCATCTTTTGAGCGGTGCCACACACTTCTCTTTTGTTGCTTGCCTATTCGGTTACCTTGCAGCACATGAAATAAGCCTTACCGAGCGCAGAATAAACCACCTGGGCACTTTGCCAGTCAGGTTTCCCCACGCTTACAGCGCGACAATCACACCCTCTCACACCACGTGGCTACTAACCCCCCACTGCTCTCACCCTCTTTCCCTTTGACCTTGTACTCGCTCGGCATGCATGTGCGCCCAGCTGGCTCACTAAGCTACCTTCGGTTCTTTGGCCTCAGTTTGCTCTTCAATCTCAAGTGTTGGTTGTCAAGAAGAATGCTTGCATAGCTCCAGGTGAAAGCAGTTCCAAACGCTGTGCAGTCTGTTGTGTGGTCGGTAATCAAAATGTACAGGAGAAGCAGGCGCCTGTTTTGTTGTTCTGGTTCCCAAAGGATCCTACACGATAGAAGGCCTGGAAAGGTAATGTCACACGCGCCGACTCGGCCCCGTCGGATGCAACGGTTTTGCCTGTGGACTAGCTCACGGTCGAGTCGGCCAAATATTAAGTATGAAGAGATCATTGTGGACGATGGCGAGTTCAACCACGAAAATCTCCTCCTCGTCGCTTGAGAGGGTCGCTAGCGGGTCAAAATCAAAATGACCAGCTTCCAACGCAATCTGATAACAATCACTCTCGAGTCTCATTGCTGCTGTGATCAGTTAGACACGTCACAATAGAAGACTCTGACGAAGTGAGCGATACCGTAAACGTCATTGACTCGAAACCAGATGCTCAAAATGCGGAAGGTAAATGAAGAAGCCGGAACGCAAGACGCCAAGACAGCCAAGTCTGCAAGTGCATGCAAGGGGACGTTCCAAGTTGTACCGGCGTGCCGCCATACCACTAGGGACAGTGGGCAGTGTATGTCACTGACCCTTCAAACATGGCAGCCTTCCTGGACGGGCGGATCCCAGAGTCCCGTGACTAAACCGAATTTATTTACAAAACTAGCGCATTGTTTACAAAACAAATTTAGCGTAAATATATTTACATCCAATAAGTTTTAATGATACAGGTGTCTCATTTTTTAATGTTGGCGTGCCCTAACCCCTTTAACTGTTTCCAGCGGGTAGGGTGCTACGGGCCAACCAGAGGGGCCTTCCCAAAATCAGCTAATCACAAAATCAGTTTAACTGCTTTCATATGCTTGAAAGTTTTCTTTTGGTGAGAAGCGACCAAGAGGAGTAGCCAACACACCGACCGGCGTGGGTGGCTCAAGTGTTCGGCTAATCTATCAGAACCAAACTAAGGAGCTATCGAACCTTCGCTAGACTGCAACACCCGTCTCCAGTCAAACAGTTAAAAGTTTAACTACATGAAGTCTGTCTTCCTCGCTCAGCTATTTTATGTTGTAATATACAAATTACTAGTGATGGACTGAATCTGCTGAACTTCAGATTCGTCAAAGTTCGGCACATGCCAAACTTTTGGAGGAAAGTTCCGCAAAGATTCGGCGAACGTCTGCGCACGCGTAAGAATGCGACGGGGCCATGGATTGCAAATGGACGCCGTGCGGTTACCATTGTACAGCATAGTACTACCAGTGGTTAAGGCGAGGTGTGGAGTAGGCGAAATGGTAACTGTGTGTTTGTCAGCCTTTGTGAGTGTGGTTATCTTCAATATTTTCTGCCTCAAGAACAGAAGATCGACCAGAAATGGATGCAAAAATGACGCAGTTCAGTGCGCAAGTGACAAATGATGTGGTACAGTCAGCATAACGCAATTTTCATTTGATCCATGATGCAACGAGGTAGTTGCAACATTGACTGACAAGTACTTTAAAGCACGCCTTGCCGTTATAGCAATGCTGTTTTCGGCTCACAACTAATTTATGCCAAAACAAAATAATATTGCTGTTCAATTAGCATTATTTCACAGTTTTCATCTATCCGCATAAAACTAAACAGAGAACTATCATGCTCGACGTGGCACATCCGACATTCCTAACTCTTCCCGTCTTCCTGAACATCTGGTGTGCCCTAACATCAGAAACCGGCATTAGAAGTTAAAAAAAAAGACGTTGCGAATATGGGACGCACACTTCCATGCAAAGCTGAAGTGACTCAAATCGAAAAATATGCATATTTACAATAATATTGTTCTCTCTTCTGGAAAAGGCGCAACAGCCGTTGCATTTATTTTCACGCACGAAACCGTGATTCACAAAGGAAGTATAGAACACAGTGTTACCGCCTTTTTTTTCAACAATGCACACTTGCAGGCTTGCACTGATGAGGTCTTAAAACCGAAGCTCAGGTATCATGACTGCGCTGACCACGTCTGCTAATAACCAACCCTGTTGTCACACCACTTACGCAAAAGGTCACTTTAAAATTACCAGTAAACACACAGAAATACTAACACCGATACAATTATATTGTAGAATATCACTTTAATTAGTAGTAACTGTGTCAATATGCATTAAAAAGAATAAAAACTTTTTTTCGCACGAAAAACAATATATCACATTTTAGGTCTGGTAACAATGTATTTTTGAACGAATCTTTGCTGAATCTTTAGAAAAGTTAGACAAATATTTGACTTTGCTGAATCCTAAGATTCGGCAAAAGTTTGGCCCATTACTACAAACTACTTATCACCTGGCAAGTAGTCATCACCTTCATTATGATTCGAAACAAACAAGCCATCAAAAAGTATTTTTTTCCCGATTCCTTTTCAAGGAATCTAAAGCCTGCAACAGTGTGTTGGTGTAAGAGGGCTTTGAAAGCTTCTTTGGGAAGTGATGGAAGGAGACAACTCACAGCTAAAATTCTACTGTGGTAATGAACACTGAAGAGCAAACAACAAATCGTCAGACTCGCATCAATTTACTTTGTTTGCCACCACGCCGACAACAGCAGCTGCGAAGGCCACCAGAGATGCGGAGAGTCACTAAACAACCTGTTCCGGCTCGTTCTTGGTTTTATGCTAGGTACTGTCCGTTTTACTGGAGTTGTGAATAGTCGGCGACAGAAAGAAAACGGCAGGACATTTCGTTCGAATGCCTGACCTCCAGCGCACACTCCATGCCTTCCACTGAACTTTGCCTGAGCGCGCATGCTCCAGAAGCTTGAGACATTGAAGTGTTTTCCAAGGTAGGAAGCTCGTGCTGGAGGTGGGACAACTAAGATTTTCCCTGCACTTCCACCTTGTCAGTGACTCTAAATCCGTACTGATATAGCAATTAACTTTTCTCCTGGAAAGACAAACTGCTGTTTCTTCAGCTAGGCACAATTACCTATTGCCATGCATATGCGCAACGAAGAGGTACATAAATTTATGCTCTTTATAACACCGAAGAAGCGAGAAAGGGAAACCTTAACCATAGATTCAGCACTGTCCAGGAAGCATGGCATCTTTAAGCTCTGTGATAAAGTCACTGAGCATTCCTCAAGTGATGCACACCTTGGCTACTGGGGGCAAAAATACAGTTTTTATGGGTGTCTCGGTACAAGTTGCAAATCTGGAAGACGACAACATGAAAGAACCAAGCTGCAATTATAGTACTGGCAGCTTAACCAGCTCAGTCCAAGTAGCTCAAATAGAGCATTGCACCGCCGCATGTTTGTTTAGACTCACCTCGGAGCACAAATGCTTGTGAAAGAACAGAAGGCTACTTTCCGAGGTTCAGGGTGGTCCCTTCACTCACATGCACACAGGTGCACGCCATCTGGCATTTAGAGTGGTTTGGCTCGGAAAGCGAGTCGACATGGCCAAGACAGAAGAGAGCGAAACTCACCCAAATGGTCGCAGATGAGGTCATTGTGAGCGAGGGCCTCGTGGTCGAAGGTGTCGCGGCAGAAGACCACCCAGCACGGTCCCCGGGGTACCCGGGGGTCTACCCCGGCCAGGGCCGCCGGTTGCTGGCCCTCGAGGCGCTTGAGCGTGGCCCGGTAGCGGCAGTAGCGTGGAAACGAGAGCACCACCACCGCAGCCGCCGCCTCCGCCGGAGAGCCAGCCAGTAGGCCGTACGTCCAGTCCACATCCTCAGTGATGCAGCTCACCAGGTCATCCAGGCCCAGCACCGCCTTCTCCGACGCCGCCAGAACCTCGTGCTGCAACCAAGCCAGGCCCATCCGGCAGGGACAAATTGCTTTAGGGCCGAGCGATGCCTTCACCGTCGAGTTTTGAACAAGCTCAAAATCCTGTTTGGTTCAACGACTCCTCCAGTTGTCGGCAATGTGATTGAGCATTTCTTTCTCAGTGCATAAGCGTGAATGGTAGCTGGCACAAAGGCACAATACGGAGCTCCCTTCACAGTTTACCCGGAAGGCTTAGCAGCTACTACTGCACTTATTGCCGCTATTCGTGCACACACCCATGCGTTCCACTGCAATGAAAGTTTTAATTGCACGGGGAAACGTTCAAATCGACTATAGAATACCTGGGTCACATCAGGTTAAACAAAGGTTCTCTTCAATTTTTATATACTGCGGCTGTTGCCGAATTTTCGAAACTGTTGCTCTTTGATGAAGCGAAAGAAAATTGAATGTTACATATCTCTCGAGAGGAGCACCCAATCGACTGTTGGCTACCTGCATCTGAGCTCGTCACTAAAATTTTGTGAAGATTCTGGTCTTACTTATTACGGGAATGAATCTACCCTTTGAAATATTGTGAGGTAGAACCAACTATTAAAATACACCTTCAACAAAACTTCGCCAGACGCAGGCACCAATTTTTCCGGCTTATATCGGTTGTCCAAATGTTTAGGCCATGTCCAGGCAAACAAGTTGCGACAGGCACCACATCTAAACAACTGGGTAAAATCATCTTAGGTGCGAAACATATCAGTTTTCAGTTGTGTAAATCATCTTAGTATACAATTAATCCAGATGTTTATTTTTACTTTCAGCTAGAATCCCTCCAAAGTACACCAGTATTGAAATTAGAGGGGAAAAAGCTCAACTATTCTTTTTATTTCAGTTAAAAAAATAATGCCAGTTTTGCCCGCTCTAATTCGGTAAACTGCAAAATCCAAAAATGAAGAATGTTGTGCCACATTCTGCTGAGAGTGCTGAGAACAGAAAGAAATGAAAAGCAAAAAAAAAAAAAAAAACACTCAAGCACCATGGTGACACAAAACCACATAAGGAAAATAAAATGTCTCATCAGATTGCCTACTCAATCCGAAATCCAGGACCTGCAACGTGTCACTTTTAACTCAACTTTTAAATTGGTAAGTCCAAAAACAAAAAGACAGGCGGACCCTGATTCAAGATGGAAGGCTCAAAGAAATTGCACTTGATCCACTCCAGCCACCAGATTCCAAAGAGTATCTGGACAGTCAACTTTTCTAGTAGGGGGGGGGGAGGTGAGAGGAACAAGACAGTTTCGGTTGTTTGGCATCAGTTTTGATTCACATTTGGCAGAAAAAATAATTAGGCCAATTCAGCCATTCCACTAGCCACTAGTTTTCATCTAGTTATGATAAACATCTAAAACAACCAAATAAACAGAGGTCACCACAATTAACCCAATTTGAGAAGCTGCCAAAAAGCAACTTTTCGTCAATATATAGAGAAGGAGTTACGGATCAGATATTGAGGTGTTCCGGTGTGTAAAATGTGGGGAAAGCAAGCAAACTGATAAATAAAAAGCTGAGAATAGACTGACCAAAATATGTAACATTGGCTCTATCATTTTCAAACTATATGCACATACAACACCTATGCAAGCACCATAGCTATTTTGCCTTCCTGCTCATTAAAGGGAGACAGAAGAGCACACATCCTGCTATTCTTCGATGGAGCTTCAGAAGCAAGGTTAGCAGAGCTCTGAAAGAGAAGAAATCAATGGAGAGTCTAACAAGCTAGCACGAGTTCACATAAACACAGATTGGCTGCAATTATTGCTAAAACACCGACTAATACTCCCAGACTTTTATTGTGGCTAAGGTGCAAACATGATAATTGAAACATTAGTGATTCACAAATCCAAAACAAGGAAATCAAGCACAAACACAACAGTTCTTGTGTTTTCAAACGTGCTTAGGTTCCATTTATGCCGAATAGCCTCCAGCTCTCTTTTGAGCTCTTCCCTGCAATGCAATTGCTAGCCCAAAAGTGAAGCCAACTATTAAGAAAAGGAAACAATTTCAATCCTAGCTGCTGCTCTCTCTCTCATCATCATAAGAAGAAAAGTTTACCCTACACCGGAAATATTTTAACCTAAATTTATTTTTGCCTTTTTATTAATGTTGTCATCTAATGTGTTTGAACCAAGGCAAACAGAGTACGGACTAGTCAAGGCAGCAGTATTAAAGATATCTTTATTTCCTCGCATTGCATGAAGGAAACCTGAAGGCCAGAACTCCGGATTTCAGAAGTACAAGTTTTTGGCCCAATGCACAAATGTGCCCGTTATTGTTCAATTAAACAAAACTCAACAAGATTTTCACACAGGTAATTGGAGAGATTCAAATATGTTTCACCTAAGAGTAGGGACTCAAAATGAGGGTAAACAGGGATTGGGGTGAACGATAGAGCATATGCACTGAGCAGGAACTAAACACGACGTCTATATGCTTTGTTAAAACTGACGAGCTAAACACAACACAAATCTCAGTGCAAAAGATCATTTGTTTATGCAAGAACTTGCGTGTTGGCTTGGATGTTGTATGTAGCAGCATCTGATGTCACGTTTGAACTGTATAAATTCCAGTCCTAAGTAAACTGTAAATAGACATAAAAATTAGATAGTATATAACTAGCTGTACATATTACGCAGCAGTAGAATGCTGTGTAACTGCTTTTGTGCTTTACATAGACACTCGTGACATTAAATTGCTTTTTGACATAAAAGAAGTCCTACAGGAGATTAAATTTCTTAACCACAGCAATTAGATTTCAAGCAAGATAAGAATACTTACAGTAACTTGTTAGACAGTGTTAAAATCAGTGAACCCTTTAGATAAAACTGTGACATCATAAAAGACAGGCCACACCTCCACAGAAGTCAAATTCATCACTTTCAGAAGAACTGGTGCCTCCTGTCAGAGACTTGGTTTGAGGATTCCTTGATAGAACAAAGGCTGCCATTGAGAAGAGGAGGGATAAGCATCTTTGTAGAAATTTGGGAGCAAAAGATAAGTTCCAAAGGGCACTAAAGCAAGTTCAACGGAACCAACAGGATCTAGCTTCGTGGCTCGAAAGAATGTTTGTGCTCCTGCATCCCATGCTCACCTAACTCCATACGAACAACTCTCAAACTGGGAATTCTTAAAATGGTGGCCCTCCCTCTATTTTTTTTTTTTTTTTTACACAACTAGTGGTTATACTTGTGTTTGAAGATGCCAAAGTAGCAAATGCTACTGCTGTTAGAACTCATTGTCTTTCCTGTTCAACAAATTGTTTGAACACAGGTGATGTAATATCTCACGGCGTACAACTTTTTTGGTGTTTTTTTCCCCCAAGAACAAAATTTGACAGAAAAAAGGGCTGGGTTATCTCTCAGGATTTTATGGTAAAAAATATTTCATACACAGTTGCCCCAGTGCACACACATGGAAGGTACAAGCACCTGCATGCAAACTAATTGGTCTTAACTCGACAAGGTTTGCGTGCAACACCGCAAAAAATATATGAACATAAGCGTGCAATTTTGGGACATACTCTTGGTACCAAAATGTGTGATAAGTTATACTACTGCTAAAAGCCACATGCTCATTCCAAAATGTACACTGTGCCAAACCAAAGTGGAGCATAAGTTTAATAGTGAAACACGAAGAGGTATACCAGATCACATTATTTCAAGTGGTGGGAATAAACATATTATTATATCAGTGACTGCCATTTTAAAGCGAAAGCATTAAATGTCCCTTGGAGCGAAGCCGACATTGTCTGTAACCGTCTGCAGAAGCGAAATGGCAGTTAAATTCCCATTAGTCAAAAGCACAGCAACACAGATGCTTTGTCACAGAAGCCGACGCGGGGTTCGCTGCGCCTGCGCTGCGGGGGACAGTGATGTTACTGCCGGAGCGCCATGTGCGATAGGAAGACGCGGCGCGCTGCTTGTAGGAATGCACTGCATGTAGGAATGCTTTCGCATTCCTGCATATAGGCAGTCTTAAGTGTTTAAATATAGAAATGATTCCCTCGAGATATCGTTAATGAACACGGTGCACGTCAGCCTAAGCGTGTGAAGTGATAATTAGCAAACGAGTAACCTAAAATGTATTTTTTCTTTTCAATCAACAGGATATTGTGTTCAAAAGCATGCTCAATAAGCTACACCTCGAAGTTTTAAAAGGAGCATGTATACTGGAACCTTAATGTATCCAGGTGATTAAAGGCAATGCATGCAGGTGATTAAAAACAATGTGTACATAATTGGGCGGGAAAGCACTCCAATGACAGCATCACAGTCAGTGTTATGCAAAGAAAAAGAATAGCTCTGAAGTCGTTTATTGTTCTGGTTACACCTCATTCTTTCCAGCTGTGTGTGCACTGACATGGCAAAATTACCATGCTTTGCTTTGCACTGTAAACAGAATTCCATAAGATGAGACACAAATGGATTGCCCAGTGATATCCGGAAGCTGTTCAGTTTTTGTGCTGGTCACATAAAGAGGTCTTAAATAAAGTCACATGTGATTTCTATTTCATTAGAGGAAACCCCAGTATTTGTGAAATAAAGTATGAGTATCAATACCAAACAGCATGCCAAATTTAGCAAGTATAAATGGCTGGACTTTGCACGACGTCACATCATGCATGGTATTGCCAGGGTCGCGGCCATCGACTTATTTCCGTTAATAATCAGTGTGTTTGATAGTGCATGCAAAGGACGTCAACAAAGAACCGAGCTTGCCTCACTACTGTAAATTTTGCCCTTAGAACAAAGTTATTTCGACGAGACAGCAGTCGGAATCAGACTCGGCAAAGAGAGCGCTTCGCCAAAAGAGGTTCTCATGAAACTGACCTCACTGCAGAGAGCTACTTCTTGCTGGCTGTGTTCAGATAAGGACGGTCATAGGGGTGACCTGACTGTCTTGTTTTCAATTAGTTTTATATGAGGTAGCAAAGCATGTTCATACAACAAAATAGACCTTACTTTACAAGAAAAAAAAAAAAGAAAAAAAAATTGTTTTTGTAACACAAAAACGTGTCTGGGAGTATGTGGAACTATGACTTTCTCAATTGTGCATAGATGCAACTTTAAGGGTCACAGGAATAAAAAAAATTAAATTTTCTACAATGTAAATATTTTGTATAAGGCACGCTAACTGCTCTACGTGAAGAAGTTAGATTTATTTACATTTAAAGTACAACAAGATGACAAACTTGGCCGTTTGCGCAACTCTTCCATATTTAGGCATTTTTATGTGATTTTTTTAACACATCTTAGAATGAAGTTTTTTGGTTGAAACTTTCTGTACAGAGTTTTTCATGCTTTGTTAAATTTCAACAAAAGGTTAGCACACAACTATTGTAAGTTTGTAATTGAAGAATTACCGGAGACTATGGTGACTACAGAAAAACGACAGGAAGAAAAAAGAAATCTCAAATAGCTAAAATTTTATTGATACAGAATACATTTATATATGGTCTGAACAAGAAAAGGGGGAAAGGGGAACCAGAGAAAAGGGAAGACCCACAAATGACACACACTCAGGGACAAAAAAAAAAAAAGAGTTCAATTACAAAAACATGCGTTTTGTCCTTGAGAGTGTGTCATTTGTGGGTTTTTTCCTTTTCCCTGGTTCCCCTTTCTCCCTTTTCTTGTTCAGACCATGTATAAATGGATTCTGTAGCAATAAAATGTCAGCTGTATTTGAGATTTCTTTCCTTCTGTTGTTTCTCTGTCGTCCCCACAGTATCGGGTAATTCTACAATTATATACTTGCACCAGCTCACTTGCGCCCTCACGTTGTGTTCACTATTGTGAGCGTTTTTTGGACTGTGCCTACCGTAAAATACCAAGCAAGCGCCCACTCAAACTTTGGAGATAATTGCAAAAAAATGGGGGATGGGCACTTGTCCGGTCATCAATTTTACATATAAGTATACTGTGCGTATTTTCCGCTTAATGTGGAACGGGCGGTTGCGCGGTATTCTACGGTAGAAGTTTTCGAAATATTGAACAAGTCAAACTTGTGCACATTTCGTGCGGCAATAAACATAATCATCTTCGATTCTCTCCAAATTTCCCACAATGAACCCGCATAATTCAGAATCCTCAAAAACGTGTTGCATTATATTGTTATAAATTAGAAAAATAAGCGTTTTGCCAGGAGGCTTCCCGTCTCAACGAATACCCAATAAGAGTGTCGGAGCGAGGTGCGTGACACTATATCACGGGAGCGTTTGTGTCACTACGCCAAATGTGGGACCCAGAGGAACCGGCTGTCATCTGCTGGCCAAGAGTCGTCTGCTGCGAAATGAACCAACTTCTGATTCACAATGTCCACCACCACAACACTGCCGATCACTAGAATAGCGAGCGCTTCGGGAACAGTTCAGGAGACATCGAGAGGCTCAATTTACCCTCAAATCTGTGGCGGGTTCTAATGCCAGGGCGATATCTTGAGCAGAAGCGGTTGATTACATGGTTGCGACCGTTCAAACATCATTCAAAGCCACGCTGTTCTCGGAAAAGTGTTGGTGCGTATTAAAAAGGCCCTGCAACGACTTCTTGCCATTTTTTAATTTGCACAGAACCTGAGCGCTCTGAACGTATAACTTAGTGAACTTTTTCCCTTCTCGAAATTCGCTTTATTTTAAAAGTTACACTAAGCATATTAAAATTACAAAATCAAGCAAAAAATAACCTCCTTCGTGACGTCCTTGGTCCTCTGTCCCCCCCCCCCCCCCCCCTTTTCCCACATGGACTGCGGTGACTGAGTAATGTGGGGAAAGAGAGAAAGATGGGGAAAGGAGCTGAGGCCGAGGTAGGCACGTAGCTTGTGATCACAGGGAGGAAGCATGAAACAAATTCGACTGCGTTGCATTCCTAGAGACCAATGTTCGCTTATCTCTCGCTGTGGCTAAGTAACACCATATCTGCCGAGGTCGCCATTGGCCACGGCCCTGCAATTACTAGTACTGGGTCATCTTTTTTTTTTGTTTTTTTTTAAAAGAACAGCAAATTAGGCCAGAAATATGGTGGGTTATCTTTCGGAAGTGGTGCATCTCCAGGGATATCCAGGTAAATGTGGTAGAGTTGCGCAAGAGGCCAAGTTTGTAATTTTATTTTGCTTGAAATATAAACCTAAATAAACTAAACCTAACTGCTTTGAGTAGATCTGTAGGAACGCTTTATACATAAAAATATATAGGTTAGAAAAAAATATATTTTATTTATTCCTGTGCATTTCATAGTCATGTCTATGCGCAATTGGGAAAATCGTAGTTCCACCTTCTCTCAGGCACAACTGTTTTTAATAACAAGGAAGTTTGTTGCAAAAGTAAGGTTCATTATGTTGTATAGATATTTTTTGCTACCTCATATAAAAATTGAATTGAAAAGAAAAAACAGTCATGACACCCCTATGACCGTCCTTATCTGAACACACCCTGCTATTGTAAGTTGCATGAAGAAAACCTCAGCTGTGAGGGAAGAAAATACAGTGATAAACCATCGCTTCACACAGACGAACAAAGACCTGGAGTGGAGCACTCGAGAAAACTCTTTGCATAATGTAACATCAAAAATTCGGCTGTTGCCAATGCAGATGCTGTTTGTATTGCGGACACGATCTGCTCAGTTGGCAGTTTCAAATTTAATAACATGTGTGGAGGATAAAAAAATCTGGATATTGAGCAACAATGAGAATAAAATTTAATTGTTTTCTTAGAGACAAAATTCAATGGATAACCCCTTCAACATTAAAGTGCACATTCATGATTACTGCACACAACCTAGGCACACAAATTAAAGCAAAGTTGAATTACGATTTATTTTGCAGGCGTCAAATTTTGCGAGCAAGGTTAGATTTATTTTCCCGTAATGAGAATATGCAGGCAAGTTGGTTCGCGAGCAACATTGCTGGCAGTCTTTCCTTTTGCCCAGTTTTGGTGTTTTTAATTATTCTATTTTTCTGCAACATTTCTGGTTAGTGGAAATTGCAGGAACTGAGTCTGTAAATGTGCTAATGTTATTAGGGCACTATAAATGTATGTTCTGGTATTTCTTATTCATTTTTCACTATGAACTTGAACAAATAAGTTTCATATTAGCTAAATACTTTTGCTAAAGGCCAACAAACTTTCGCCACAATACCTTTAAAGCCGTAGACAACCATAAAAGTTGTACAATATAAACAGATACAATATATAACATGCGAATTCAAATTATGCTATGCTACATCATTTTGTGTGTATTTCTAAACTACTGATTTTAATCAAATTGGAATAAAAAAAAGAAAATGAAGTAACGCCGAGAAAAAAAAAAATATAGCATTCACATATGGCAACAGCGGATTAGCCCCGAGGCCAACTGTTGTATTCGCGATAAGCGCTTTGTGCGTCGGGTAATATAGGGACAAAAACTAACCGCTTGGCTCGAGTTCCTAGAGACGAGGAAAAACTTTCAAGGGCCAGAGCCCAAAGCTGACGCAAACAGGCGTTACTCCGACGAACGGGGATGATGAAAATTTGCAAAATTCAAAGTATCGCATTTTCAAATAGGCGTTCTTTACACACACACACACACATATATATAGATAAATAAACAAACAAAACAAGTACGCGCCAGACCTGCAGCCTCCCGCGGAGTCCTTTCCGAACTCACTTTTCAGCGCAAATACGACGTAGACAAGGTCAACGCCACGCCGTCAACAATTAAATAATTAGGATACGAGAGGAAAGCGCCCAACGTCACAAACGGGCGTCTGCTAACTTGGCATGAATCTAAGGAAATAATGTTTAGACACGACCTCAAGCCCCCAAGCTTGAACGAACTGCAAACACTGGCAAGCAAAGAATGCAGAGTAGGTGAGCGCTCGAATGCATCAGGCGTCGTTTCTTTGTTTTGATTTGCGCGTATCACGCTGGGCCGCGCTGATGCGCTCCGGACATTCGCTACGCTAGCTTCTAAAAGTGACAAAGTCGCGCCAAAGACGTTCGCGTCGAACGTTCTTCGATCGGCAGACTTCAAGGAGTTGGCGTGCGGGGGCAAACCACTGTTTACGAGGGCAGGGTATCACATGGCTCGGTCAAGAAAACAAAGACGTATCTACCTGTCCTTGATGCGGTAACCGTCCGTCGGGGGTCTGTTCCGGGAGGAAATAGAGCTGGACACTGGCCAGTTGTGAGCTGTGTTGGTGGTCCTTCCACAGGAGCAGCAATTCGGCGATACAGGGGTCATCGCTGGGCGACAGGCGAACAAACACAAACTGGCCCACGCAGAGTGTGGTTGGGCCCCTCTCGCTCCGGTACTCGAAAGCTCCGTAGAACGTGCAGTGTCCGCTGCGTCCTCGGGGGTCGCCCACGAACGACATACCCAGCTGGACGCTAAAGTGGCGACGAAATTGTGGCACGCACACACTGATGCACCCGCCTAATCATAACAAGAAGCGACTATGGAGTAAAAAGTAAAAATACCCCAATCCCGGCATGCAGCGCAAGAGCAAATATGGCGGCAAGCTTCCAAGCTCATTTGGTCGTGTTAGGGGCATAGGCGGCCCACTTGCATTTGGTCGTTAATTATGTATGAAACAAAATGGGGAAGAAAACAAAGCGCGGTGACGCACAAATGCAGCGCTCGCATTTATTGACGAAATTTTGCGACGCAGCCAACGCAGCAGCGATGAGTTACAAAAGTAATGCTGGTGGACCGTTCGAACGAGTTTGGGGATATTTGGAAAGCATCCAGCTGATGGGAGAGCAACGAAACCGTGCACGCGCACAAACACACCTTGCGACAAAAACCACCGGCGCGAAACTTTCGCTAGTAACAAGGAGGAGACACGGGGAGCGGTGGCCTCAGTTCGACTTGGCCGTTGCGCAGGTGCCCGTACTCGAACTTGAGGCGCAGTTCGCCGACTCGGCTGCGGGGCAGCACGTCGGGGCTCCACTCGATGACGAAGGGACATGCCGGGTGGCTGTTGAGGAAGGTCTTCAGCTCGAGCGGCTTGATGCGCGGACAGCCGTCGGTGCGCTGACCGTCCGAAGGCGGCGGCTGGTACACGCGGTAGGTGCCGTCGCGATTCTCCACGAAGGCCCGGGTGTCCTCGAGCGGCACGTCGGGGCTGTCGAAGATGTGCCTCACGTGCAGGAGGCTGGTGATGTGCCAACTGCACTGGGCGCCGTCTCTGCGCGCGGGGAGCCTGCGGCCGCAGATTCGCTGCTGCAGGCAGTCGAAGAACTGGTGCGGCACGTGGAAGACGAGCGGGTCCGGCCGGCCGGAGCCTTCGTAGCGCATCGTCTCGTTGATGCGCTCCGTCACGCCGGCCAGCCACTGCGGGAAAGTGAGCGACGGCTCGGGCTGCTTGGGCGCGACGGCGCGCAGTGTGTCCACGCTGGTGAGCGCGCACAGGCAAGCGTACGAGTGGACGCAGCCCGGGTTCGGGCCCTGAGCGAAGCAGCCCGCGCAGCGAAGCTCGCGCCTCGGACTCACCAGCACGTGCACGAAACCGCCCTGGAAGCGAGCTACTAGCGCAGACTTGGAGACCCGCTGCACGAGCGGCGGGCCCTCGGCGGCGGCGAGCTCCCAGATGGCCTGGCGCACGCTCGCCTCCTGGGCTGCCACCACAGACGCCTTGAGCGGCAGGGCCTGGGCCTGTGCGCCGCACCGCAGGGCCGCTTGCACGTGCGCGCAGCCAGAGGCCCCCTCGCAGCCGTCGCAGTGCGCCGTACCGTCCACCGACAACTGCACGAAGGTGCGCGCTTCGCCCCGCAGCAGCCGCACCGAGTACAGCTGCTGGCTGCCGGGAGCCAAGATTCGCACGGCGTCCGCAGCACGCTTCCGGGCACCGCGCTCGCGGAACACCGCGTCGCACGCCTTGTTTTTGCAGCGCACCCCTCGGGTGCCGTTGTACGTGCCGCACTTGGGACACTTTCGGATGCCGCGGAGGGTCGCTTTTCCCAGATCTCCGAACGGGCTTTTGCGCGGAGACATCTCGGCCAGTTCCGAAACTGTCCTGAACGTCCGTCACGTACGCAGTTGCGCCTGCGCGACTGCAGGACTGCAGTCCGCTCCGGGGGAGTTTGTCGCGGGCGAAACGCGCAGATACCGAAAATGCCGAAAACTGCGCGCGATCTCCACACAGCTCACGCACGCACTTCGCAAACTACCGTGGTCGCCTTCATCAGCTACGCCTGGCAAAATGTAATCAGTCAACCGCTTTCTTGATGTAGAGGGCGCTAGCTTCAAGTTAATTTTAATACGTGAATAGATGGATGGATATATAGATAGATAGATGGATGGATGGCTCAAATAAATGATAACTGTAAATGTACTGTAACGGGCGGCGGCTTGCGCCACCTAGCGTAACATTTAGTCATCCTTTTTTTAATTTTTATGGATTTTGTTATAACAACCGGTGGGAGGAGCCTAATCTCCATCGCCAACAAACTACATCGGAAGAGAACTGCACCGTGACGTGTCCGGTGACGTCGCCGAACAGTGGCGATTGAGTTGAAACTACATCGCTTCTTTTTTCCCTACAGGGAATTTCGGAGAATCGCCGAGTGGGCTAGCGCACACCAGCTCGGAGCACGTGGAGCGAAAGCTCGCGCTGCAGGACCCAGGGACCCTGGGTTCAATGCCCGCCCCTGCCCGTTTTGATCTGGATGGGCATCGTACCGGCGTGCGGTCGTGTATCACGACTGCGTGATGCACGTTAAAGATCCCGGGCTAACAGTCGTACTGCACTGGCTAAATTGCTTATCTACAGTGGGTAACAATGTCGCCATGTTCAGGCAGACTAACCTCCTGCTGTATAAACAGCTAACGACCAATTTTACTTTTTGGCTATATTTGACTGCGTTACTGCTGCTTCTCTCGTGCTGCACGAGAAAGAAAAAAATGTTCCTTCTGGGGTTAAATTTTCGGTGATGTAGGAAGCAAAAAAGAAGAAAAGAGAATACTTCCTTCAAGTTGGGTTTGTAGCAGAAGGGGAGGAAAAAGAAAATCAGTTGTTAGTCCCACGGTGTGTATGGTCTTTTCTTTATGTGTATGTTTACTCTAGTTCAGCTGGCCTTATCTGAAGTAGCTGCTTTAAAATAAAGTATATCTCTCCCTCTCTCTCTCTACCTGAAGTATGAACGAACTAGCTCAACTTAAGCCTGTTACCGTTGCTTGCTTGGCTTTTCGCTCAGCCAAGTCGCTTATATGGGGTGCAGTCAAATGAAAACACAATCGTGTTGAATCGTGTAAGAGTATTTAGAATATTTATCGATCACGCCGCTGAACTTGCATCGCTCAAAGACCTTCCTTTTTGTGAGTGCCTTCTCTGCTTGAGTTTGTTTGAAACACAGCCACTTCAAGGTTCAAGGTTCAAGGTGTTTAATGGCAAAACTTCCACACAGCCGAGTGCCTGAGGCAGCCAAAAGGCAGAAGCCCGTACAGCCAAGTGCTGGCTGCCTCTTCGGCTGTGTGTTAACAGGTGAATGATGATGATGAATATACACATGAAAGGGAGCAGAATTGCCTCGGATCACTTCGATCCGAGGCAATCGATGATAGTGTTGGTGCCGTCACCAAGTACGCGACTCACAGAACGCTGGTGAACTCCAATGTTTTCGTTGCTCCCGACGGGTCCCTGGAAGCCGCCAGCGGCGTAAAAGCGTAGAGCTGCGAGGACTTGTTGTTCGACCGTCAGCACACGGGGCCCTTCACGACAACGCTGGAGCTTTCCGCGAAGCTGGTTGCACAGGCAGCGAGTCACCCCTTTGGTCAGCCGGTATTCGCCCACAAACCTCGCATCGCTCGTCTCGAAAGCATCCCGGTGATCTCTAAAAACTCGATCTGCTGGCGAACCCAACAGTAGAGATGCATATGTTAGGGTCGCCATCTTTTACGATGCAGATCGATCTCTGGCTTCGTCTCGACCACTCAGTTAACTGCATCGTGAAAGTGCATCGTGACGACATTTTGACGTCACCGCCAACTGCATCATTTTACGAGCATAACTCGAACTGCATAGGGAAAAACTACATTTCAACGTCATGTCCCGTGACCCGAGAGAATAGCCAATCAGTGCCCAATGCAGTTTTCTACATCATGTAGTTTGCGTTCGAGCATAGATAGACAGGTATGACTTGGTTTACTTTTCTCCCTCCCTCCATATACGTCAGATCGAATACCAAGTTGCTCTGCTCTAACCTGTTTTCCAATTCGCTTAGGTATACCATGAAGAGCAGTGGTGACAGGGGACAACCCTGTCTAAGCCCTCTTTTTATTGCTGCTGGTCTTGTAGTTTCTGCCTCCCACTTTATAACCACTTCATTATTTGTATACACTTCTTGCAAGAATCTAATCAAATGTGCATCTAGCTCATACCTCCTCAGCAGTTCCCAGAGGTTTTCCTGACTCACATTGTCGTATGCCCCCTTGATATCTAAAAATGCTGCCCATAATGGTCGATGGTTTGTCGCTGCAATTTGTATGCACTGGGTGGCTATAAATAAATTATCTTCAAGCCTTCTATCCCTTTGGAAACCATTTTGGAGCTCACCCAGAATCTGCGTGCTTTCTGCCCACTCTTCCATTCTTCTCTTCACTATCTGCATAGCTAGCCTGTATATGACCGAAGTTACTGTTATTGGGCGATATGATTTAATGCTATCTTTATTATTTTGGCCTTTATATATTAGTTTCATCTTGCTTAGTTTCCAATCATTGGGTACGTCCCCCCCCTTTAATTATTTGGTCTATCACCTGTTTTAGCTTTAATTTGCTTGCTTTACCTAGGGCCTTTATTAGTCTGATTGGAATGTCATCTGAACCTGTTGCTGTTCCTGCTGGAATCTTACTTTCCGCTCTGTCCCATTCTCCTATAGTAGTTCCCATTGTTTCGGCTCCCTCTTCCTCCTGCACGTTACTGTGATTGGTGTTCTCCAGTTTTTCATTTGGTTCCAACTCCGAAAAAGCTTCTTCAATTGTCCTCCTGATGTATTCTCGAGCCTCTTTCCCTTCAACCTTTATCCCCTCCTGCGTGGTGAGTGAGTGCTGGCACGACTCAGTCTTTTTTCCCTGCGCCTTAATGTGCTCCCAAAATCTTTCTGCTGCATTTCTGTCGTTCTGATTTATCTCCATCATCCACTGAACCCCTGCGCTGCCAATTTTGGTCTGTATGAGAGCTGATGCCTCCCTTTTTCTATTCAGAAAATTTTCCCATTTTGCTGCTACTTCGTCCGGGGTTGCTCCCCTTTTCTTTGCCCACCTATGTTCTCGAGATGCCTCTTGACGTCGTGATATGGCTGCCTTAACCTCTTTATCCCACCAGATTTTAGGTTTGTGCTTTTTCTCTCTCTTTCCTCCTCGCTTACCTCGGTACTTTTCCAACTCAGTGTTAAAAATGCCCACTAAATCCTTATATGACCACTCTCTTTCCGGTTGGTTGGATACTATGCTCTCAATATTTTTGGATACTTCTTGTAACTGATCTTCGTTTAGAGTCGATTTACCTTCCCGTTCCTGAATTTTTTTCAGCGCTGTCACTGCCCTTCCCGGGTCTGCGACTGGTCAAGTTCTGGGTTGGTTTCACGCAAGCTTTTTGCACTCATTTGAAGCGTTCCATTTGTCATTCGCCTGATTACTTATTTGTTTGACCATATTCATTAGTATCTACTGCCATTGTTTGTATTTTGCGCTTTGAACGCATTAATTTGGATGTTGTATCGGGTTGGTAAACAAGCGTGGTCGCACTCCCAACGTGCCTCGTGTTTTGGTAGCCGGTGATCCTTACTCGAACCAGTACTTCTCGACGATTGACCGGAGGGCTATTGAGGTCGCCGCATCTGGTGGGCTTAGGATTGAGAAATTGTTTTCACGGTCTGACAGGCTTGCCGATTTTGACGTCGCCATCGTGCACGTCGGCACTAACAACACCAGCGTTAGTGCTAGCTGTGCAACAACAAATCTGGTCATTGGCATGACAGCGTAGTCACGCTGCCGAGATGCAGGTTATGAATGACTACTACCGGGAGGTAAGCTCCCTGCAGCGCGAGTTTTGTCGCAAAGAGGGGTTCGAGTTCCGCGGCGGCTTGGCCAACGAGTAGCAGCAGTGGATCGGTCGCGACTGCTTGGAACGGACGACAGCCAAGTGACAGCAGCCCAGCTCGTGACCACAACCAAAAAAGGAAAGCCCTTTTTATTTCCATGCGCCACTCCTTATATAAGCGCTCTATAATTGATGGTGTCCTCTGGCGAGCAATAAGATAAACACCATCACCTTAGTAGTGCCCACTACATCTCCCCTTAAGATCTGTAAGTCAGTCGCCTTTGCGGTCCAATCACACGACCGCAACGTGTGCGTCTCAGCCGAAGCCCTTCTTGCCGAGGCTCTGGCGATGATGCTGGTTGACCCTCACCAGGCGTAGACTGCTGTAAACTTGGTCCTTGATCAGGTGCTCCGGAAGTCAATTCTGATCGGGGGGGCGGGGGTCAAGGCTCACATCCTTGCAGTGCAGATTCCCCCCCCCCCCCCCCCCCCCCTAACTTTGAAGATCGTACGCGCGGAAAAACCGAAATGGAGGAAGCGACCTTTGTGTAGCCGAAATCTTTTTTGAGTAACAAAAAGAGATCTTCAAAATCTCTAGCACGCAAGAGCGTTTCCGCGGCCTCTGATGACAAGGAATGGTAGAAAGGTGCCTTTCCTAAGCTGTACACGTCCCGCTGCCAGTGATTAAGATGTGACCAATACGCGCGCCTCAAGGCTGGCTCAGAAGAAACGTTTACTCCAGCACTTAACAGGGTATCAGCTTTACTACCAATTCTCGTCCCGACAAAACGTCGCTGTCCTTTCTCATTCCGCTTCAAGCTTGGAAGGCGCGGTAGCATGATGCTCTGACTACATTAAGGGAGAGTTGTAGGTCAGGCTTCAGCGTCGGGGGGGCATGACCCCTACGAAAAAAACATGAGGGGGGCGGACGCCCCCCCTGCCCCCCCGGTTCCGGAGCCCCTGTCCTTGATTTTGTTCACTGGCTGGCAGTTCCTCTGTTGACTGGCCTTTTGAGAAGGGGATTAGATGCCGACAGTTTCACTGCAGAGTTCCTCTGGGCGTTTCCACCACATATGACTGTGGTCACTGAGCGGGGCTGAGGATACTGCCTCGGCAATTGACGTCCTTAACCCACATGTCCTCCCCCAACTTCAAGGGGGTCGGAGGACTTGAAGTATGCCGGCGATTGTGGTTGTTTGCCTGTTGCGACGTGTTTGCGGCATCTCTTGCCTTGAAGTTCTGATGGCTTGGCAGTGATGGCTGAAGTCGTTCTGGTAGACCAGGAAGTCAAGTTAGTTTTCTTCCCATTAACAACTGGGCAGGAGAAACCATTGACACCGGGTCTGTCTCGGTACGATAGGAGAGCCAGGTGTTGATCGGTGCTCTTTGCAAACAAGTTCTTAACGATACGCACCATGCATTCTACTTCGCCGTTATTCTAGGGGTACCGCTGGCTCCTAGTCTCGTGGCGAAATCTGCGCCTGAGCAAAGTCTGCAAACTCGTGAGATGCAAACTGCGGTTCAATATCTGTCCGCACGACGTTCGGGATTCCATAGCAAGCCATGCAACTCTTGACAGCCGAGATGGCTGCTTGCGCAGATGTAGATCCGAGAGAGATGACCTCAGGAAACCTTGAGTATACTCTGTTTCACCTTATGCTGTACCGCAGCGAAGGCTAGAAGCGCGAGCTATTAGCGTTGGCAGCTGCCCTTGATGCACGAGAGCTTGTGCCGCCGAGATGCGCCCTAGAGCAAGGAGCTCACGCTTGTAGCCTTTCCTACGGTACAACACAAGGTGAAACAGAGTATAGTAGTCTACAATCAGAACACAGTCACATCCTTTTAGCTGGAACATTCGGAATGGACGATGACGAAGAGACAGCAGCTCGTGATACCCCCAGAGTAACGGCGAAGTAGAGCGCATGGTGCATACCGTGAAAGACTTGTTTGCAAAGAACTCTGATCCATACCTGACTGTCCTCGTTGCAATCCAAGTCGGCCATTCCGCCGGGCTGGTGAAAGTGAATAGTGCTAAAGGATGAAGTCCCGACACTCCGACGCAAACCACTTGGATACAGAGGTCACCTTCCGCCATAGTGACGGTGTTAGCCAGCTTCTGACACCATGTTCGGAACGGACGACGGCTAAGTAACAGCAGCCCAGCTCGTGACCACACCTAAAAAGAAGAAGCCCTTTTATTTCGATGCGCCGCACCGGTTCTTAAATAAGCACTTTATAAATGATGGTGTTCTCTGGCGAGCAACAAGAAAAACAGCATCACCCTAGTAGCGCCCACTATTGCGACGGCATCCACCCAAGCCAGATGGGCAACAAGGTATGGCGTCTGTGCCGACGAGCACAAATATATAGACATCGATCGCAAGGATGGCTACAGTAGTAGCCGTACAAGTAGGCGTCTGTGCATACTCACTTGCAATGTACTTAAGAAAAAATGTTGACTGAGGTGTTTACAATGTGAAGGAGGCTTATTGCAGAAAAGGCACCGTGTAATGTGAGCTTTCGGTTGCACAACAAAAAATCCCCCCGGTGGCCTAAATATTCTTGTGCCCTCCGTTGCGTTTAGCACGTAAACCTAAAAAAATTTTGCTTCAAAAATTTTACTTTTGAGGGTGTATGAAAATTACAATCACCCTTAAACTCAGTGTTCACAAGAACTTGAAGTATTTGTTTTAGTACTTTGCAAGGAAACTACAACTCCCTACCTCAAGTACATTCTCCAAACCTGGTCTTACTAAATTTGCATCACTAAACGGTGCTAGGTTAACTTGGGAGAAATACTGCGAGGTATTTTCTTACCTAGCGAGGTGCATAAGCAGACAATGCATTGCTTCATATTGTCTTCGAGAACAATGTCTTTTTCATCGTTCTTAGAAGACAACAGAGTTTTAGAGAACCATTTTTCAACTCTGATTTCGATATCATTGGTTCCGCTGGTATTAACTGCGCATGGAATGTGTGCATCTGCATGTCATATTGTTACTGGAGCTGGAAAATGGTTCCTTTGAACTCTCTTAACCATACTTTGTCTCAGATGTTTCGTACAGCTCTGGGAAACGCACAGGGACAAATGCATTGATCTGAGCACTGGTTTGTTTCGTGAGGGCTCAGGAAAATCTAGGCTCTTTCAAAACCCATGTGCCAATGTCCTTGGCTTTCCAAGTAGTACCTACAACTTCTGAGGTAGGGTACAATTTTGCACCAACCTAACAACAAAGTGGTAGGCTGTTATCATACAAAAGTGTTGATTTCTTTCGAAACCTCTTCTGGCCATTCCTCTCAGAGGACTGGCAGTTATAAGTGCACGCAATGTCATTCCTACTTGTTCTGGCCAAGAAGTACAAGTTTGAAGGTGTGAAATTTATGCTGCAGAAGGTACGAGCACAGGAGCATGGTACGGAGTAATGACTGCTGATGTAACGAAAATGCAAGCCATGTATAGCTCATCGGGGAGAGAAAAAAAGTACTGGGTGGCCTCTTGGCTATGTCTGATATTTGCCGCTAGTACCGCAAATAATTCCCATATTACACACTTGAGTACCTATGCATACCATGATTTGGAAGACACTCAGAGTGGGAATGAAGAAGACCATCAGTTTACTTTATTTAAATAAAAAGACTACATTTATTGTACTTTACTTCGAACTGCATCATGCCCTGTATACTTACTACTCAACTTGATGTACATAATTACTCTAACTTTACTTCAAGTAGTTTTTAGATATGCTTTACTTTATGAAACACTGCTTATAATTTTAAATGGACACTAACTCAGACAATTAAGTTAGGCTGACAGTCAGGTTTGGTGCTCTAGTGTAGAGGATAATAGTTGGGCACTCTCAACTATATGGGCAGGTTCTTGCCAAGTTCATGGACCAGCAGGTGCAGAACATCGTGCAGAAGATGGCCAGGGCCAGGATTCAGCAGGAGGGCAGGATTCAGCAGGAGTACTAGGGGACAACAATGAAGGCTTCTTCAAGTGCTGGCTGGACCATCAAAAGTGTTCCACCAGCCATGCTCTGTGAGGTTGAGTTTCCTCCACTTTGCTCTCCTGCTGCTTCCGCACCACCTCTGCCACTTGCTTCTGCTGCTTCCTCCCCTGAGAGTACCTGTGCACCTTGTGAAGCAGCTGCTGATCAGGTGCAGAGATGTCAGAGCAGGGCAGAGATGTCAAAATCTGCAGGCTCTCCTGTACCAGGTGCCTGCATGGCCTCTGAGCTCGTTTTGGACAGAAGCCAACCAGTTGTCACATATGGAAAGGCTGAGCGGAGGCACAGACGAGGCAAGCCTTCTGATGTGCCAGTGAAGTAGAGTGAAGTAGGTGCTGGGTTCAGGCTGGTTGGTGGTGTTTGAGTCCACAGCAAGGATAGTCAGGTAGGGCAAACCTGGGAGAGCATGCCTCTTGCTAGTGCAGAGGAGTGCCTGAAAGCCACATCTTCAAAGAGCACAGCTTCTTTGAGTGGAAAAGCTATACTCGGTTCCACCTTCGGTCCGAGCGCAGTGGATGCCACAAGCCATTCCAGCCGATCCAGCGCCAGGACAAAATCGCGTGACCTGCCTGTTGGGCAGAGCGATACCTGGAGCTCAAGGTCACATGCCACCCTCTCAACGCTGGATTGGCTGGGATGGTTCCTATAGCGTCCACTGCGCTCGGACTGAAGGTGAAACGGAGTATAGTGCAGAGGAGTGCCTAAAAGCCACTTCCTTGGGAAGCACAGCTTCTGTAAAGGCCTGCAAGCAAGCAGCCCTTGTCACTGCCGATGCTTTGGGTAGAAAAGCTAGTGCAGAATGCCCAAAAACCACTTTCTTGGAAGTCTCAGCTTTTGCAGAGAACGGTGAGCATGAAGCTAGTGTAGAGGAGTGCCCAAAAGCCTCTTCCTCGGGGAGCACAGCTCCTGTAAAGGCATGGGAGCAAGCAGCCCGTGCCTCTGGCAATGCTTCGGGTGGGAAAGCTAGTGCAGAGAAGTGCCTAAAAGTCACTTCCTCGGGGAGCACAGCTTCTGTAGAGGCTGGTAAGTGGATGGCCTTTGAAGTGACTGAAACCGAGGTAGTGTGCCCTTTCCAAAGCACGGTGGGAGGAGGGAAGCAGCGTGGGTGAAGTACATTGAGCACGAAGCGAGGGTCTCGCAGGCTGTGTAAGGCACTAAACCATACTGCCACTATTGCATCCTCCACCATTGCGTGGGATGGAGGAGACCTTGCATAGGGTGCCTCTGTTCTTTTTATGTGTCTGATAATACATCTTCTGGCTTGGGGGAGGACAGCCCAGCATGTGCGACAAAGAGCAGGGCCACTGGAGGCAAGCATCCCGCCACAGCCCTGCTGCAGAACCATTTTCCTGCAGGCCAAGTTTAGCAACTATCCAACCTATCTAGCAGCATTTGAAGACTGGACCAAAAAAGGGTTGCATGTATTTTCAGAAAAAAAAAAAAAAGATCAAAGTCAAACCAACAGCTAACTCCTTGGCCCAATGCGGTGAACGAGAGCTAAATGAAAAATTGATCGATATTCAGGCATTCCTTGGCAGTCTTACAACCTTCCCTAGCAACCAGGTGCAGCTCTCGCCAGAGTCTGTTGCACCCTGTGCAGCTCGAGAGGATGTATCTCAGCAGCAGCTAATAGACAACAATCGGTGGGGCAACTTTTTCCGAAAAACTGTGCATTAGTTTGATCAAACGCAGGAGGCAGACCACGAAATGTGACAGTTATAAGAAAGCATGCACTTTCTGGGATGTTCCACAACAAGGCACTTCACCTTAGTATGATAGGGGCAGAGTTAATTCCTCTCTACAAAAGTTGTTCACTTACTGAAAAAGAACTGGCATGTGTGAGATCCAACAGTTCTCTGTCTGATAGTGTTATGAATATTGTGCGGTACTTAACACGTAAAACATTTCCACATTGGGGTGGTTTTCAAGCTGTTGTGTTAGCTGAGGGATTAAAATTCAAACAGGTGAGAGATGCTTTCATTCAGCTATTGCGTACAAAAGTTCCAGACCATTGGCAGTGATGTGATACTTGTGCCAAAGTGCTACATCTTGCTACATTTGACCAAAATCTGAGGAACTCTGGCCAACATTGCGCCAAAACTTAATTTTAACAACTCGTAATTTGGCCGGAACGATAGGATTGGGCGAGTTTGCAGATCTTTAGAATATTACGTCATATAACATACTAACTCGGTCTGATTTCGCATCAAACACAGACATTACTCGTAAGGGAGTGCCATTGTGTTTTGCCCTTTTTCTTCTATTTCGCCGGGCGCATCCCTGAAGTCGCCTACGAAGCTCAGAGGGCACGAATGTTGTGTTCTTAAAGGCATGTGTTAACACCGACTCCTCGGCATCAGGGGTCTCAAACGTGGATTCCAGCGCCATGAAGATGCAACTGGCTGGCGTCGGACCGGATGCGGCATCTGCCAGCCAGGCGAGACCAAGCACCGCGAGAGCAGAACTATACAGCAGTCTACCTGCAAGACTCTGAGCAAGAGCATTGTGCGATGGTGGTATGCAACCACCATAGTTCCCAAATTTGTAAATTTGGGAACTATGGCCTAAATTTGTACTCTCGACTATATTAAACCCAGCGTTTTTTTAATTGCTATAAGCTTAGTTGTCGAGACCTCATTTATTTTCTAGAATATATTTTATTTGAGACTATTTCTAACACTCGGAAGTTCCACAATAATTTTCGCGTTCTGTTCTGGCGGGTTAGTTTCGTTGAGTGCGCTTCTCACCGCTCACTGGTGTACTGCAGTGAAGTGACAACCGCGGAGTAGGCATCGCACTTTTGTGTCTTGCTTCGCTGCAGCGCACCTTTGTGCTAAGGGGAAAGCATACCTCCAGAGCGAGACTGGACGATTTTTGAATAGAATTTGGCTTGTATGTATGATAAACTGACTGCAGTATCGTGGAGGTATCTTTTTCCAATTCTAGATTTAGCAAGGATACTTGAGTATTGCAAATATATTTATGTGGACACTTCTTTAAGTTAATGTTTTATGCCAACTTTTTTGTTTAGTTGTCACTCTTATCTAGGTGTGAGTGAATTAGCAGCTAAATTACCAGAAGTAGAGAATGCAAGCCTGAGAAGAACCTTAACGAGTTCGGCGGAGTTGTTTATAAGAAGGCATATTTATCATTTACAGGCCAATTTTAGGGGCAAAGCTAGACCTTAGGGTCTAGCCTTGTCCGGCGTCCGTGCTCACATCGATTGCCATCCCATGTCTTCTTAAAAAAAATAAAAAATGTTTGTGCAGTCAACAGGATTCAAACCTGTGCGGGGAGACCCCAATGGATTTCTAGTCCATCACCTTAACCACCCGGCCACGACTGCGGGATGAGCACGGAGCTCTGAGATGTGGTAGTAACTCAAGAGCTGGGGATGTCATGGATGAAACGTTGCATGTAGCTGCTCAACGTCTATACAGGAGAGGGCGCTGCGGTCAAATGCGTATATAATCGCGTTAAACTTTGCATGCATTGGCTCAACGTTCATAGACGAGAGGGCGCTGCTGTCAAATGCGTATATAACCACGTTCCATACCACACATTCCATACCAACGCAACCCGGAGCCCAGCACTACCTATGAGCAAAAAAAAAAATCAGCACTACATATGAACAAAATCAGTATCATCAGCACCACCGAGAGCTTCGCCCCAATCAACATCATTCACCACGTGGAGATGCGGTCATTTTTTTTTTGTTATGAAGTTCTAGGTATAAAATATAATTGATGTTTCATAATCAAATGACAAGTGCTTTTTTTTTCTATGTTAAGAACTGCAGTTTTATTACAACCTCTAGAACTTGAAGGAAACAAATTTAGGCACTCAAAATTATTGTATTTTAGCATTGCTTCACTGGGATTCCATACCTAAATTTACAATTCACCACAATTCATGCTGTCCTTCATCTGTCATCTTCTTGTTACCGTGTCTGGTGCGTCTGCATGCAAGTAAACTGCTAGTTTTGTGCTTGAGGAAATCAATCCTGCTGTGCAATCAATGATAACAAAAGGTTGCACATAAGTGAGAAGGCAAAGTAGACTCTGCCTAGTTGGACAGGTCAACGCATGAATCTTAATATAATATTTGCAATGCTATGAATGAAAATGGGAATGTGCGCTTGTGCTCCAAAAGTTCTTTTGGCTGCTCCAAGAGCTGCTCCAAAACGACTGAGCGATCACGTCACTGCATTGGCTCTCAGTATCAAACATTGGGTCACCTCCAAACTCTGTCTTTGCGTATAGTTATATTGACGATGTTCCTCCTGATTTTGTCAAGCAACTGTGCAGCATTCTGAAGTTACAATTGGCCACTATAAATGTTTTTTATAAAGCCTGCACAAAGTCGAGGCCAAGTCAAAGTTAAATTTTGGTGTTTTACGTGCCAAACCAACGATGGGAATCTGGCACGCCGCAGCGGAGGACTGGTGATTAATTTGGACCACCTGGGGATCTTTTGACGTGCAACCGAAAGCTCGGTTACACGGCGCCTCCTCCGCAATAAGCCTCCGTCAGATTGCGGGCACCTCGGCCGGGATTCGAATCCGCCACATGGGGATCCGTAGGCCAGCGGTCTCGCCTCGGAGCCACCGAGGCGGCTCACAAAGTCAAGGCGGCACTCTGGATTGTGGCTTATTCACAATAGCTAACATGCAATACATAGCATCCGGCAAATACCTTACCTCTGTAAGCTTCTGACAACAGTCAATGAGGACCCATTTACTAAACTGCATTCTAAAGGGAATGACGAAAGACTTTCCCATAATAAATTGTACTGTTTCTCAAGTGCGACCAAAAGACTTCGCTTATGCTGTTCATTGCTTGTGCAGGCAGCCTCTGCTTTGTGCCGGTGCTGTTCGCATTATTCAATGTGCAGGTTGTCCATCCCTCTTTCACGAGGAGTGTCTAGACAGAAAACCTAATTGTGGCATACAGTTTGCATGCAGTCGAGGGTGTGTTGTCACTGGAATGCAGAAGAATAGGCAGAGGTTATCCTAAACGACTTTCAAGACCTTGAACTTTATTTACCATACCCGCCAAGTTCGGAAAAACCAAATCCGGGAGAATTTCTAAGGGGAGGGGGGGGGGGGGGGGGTAAAGGTTTTTTAAAAAGATATTGATAACAAATGTAAGTGAAGACAACTTCATTATATTTATATTGCACTGCTCATGCTAGCGAAGGACTGCTGCGCCTCGCTATCGTGGCAGCCGTTTGTTACGACGTCAAAAACTACTTATTTAAGTGCGAGGAGGGAAGGGGGGGGATTTGAATTTCTTGGGAGATTTTTCTGGCAATCGTACAAATTGGTCGAAATTCGGGAGTCTCCCGGGTAATACGGGTAACTTGGCAGGTATGATTTACCCTTGTTATGTTTAATCTTGTTATTCTTTACCTTTGTTATGTTTCCACCTGCATATTTCTTACTTTTCATTATTAGAGTTTGATATGAAAAAAACTGACTGATATATTTAAAAAAGCATGTGACCCTGTAATTAGTTGCAAATTATTACAATTCTGTTCAAACACTCATCGTGGCCAAGAATTTCAATAACAATTGTTGTAAGAAAAAAAAACTTGCTCTCGAGACTAATAGATGGATAATGACAGCTGTACCCTTTATAATGTGTGGCAGCTTCCACCACCTAGCCTAAAACATTAACAAAAACTAAAAGCATCATCCACTGCCTCCTCCCTCCGGCGAGGGAGTCACCAATTTTCCTCTGGTCAAACCTTGTCAGCGTCGGCTGATTCCTCACAACACCGCAGTAAATGTTGGGACACAAGTTTAATGAAATAATGTGCAACTGGTTATCAGGTCACACCTTTTCATCTGCAACAATGTGCCCTTTCCATTTCAAATACCCTCTTTTTTTCACTTATATTTAGCATAAGAAAAGTACTATGTACAGCTGCTTATTCCTATGGGGGACAAGACAAAAACAGCTTAGTAATTTTAATTTTTTATGCTTTGGTGTTTGCTGCTTTTAATGTCTTTCTTTTCTTTAATTTAGGTCTTTTGGAGCAGCCAGACTGCTAGAGAGCGCATGCTCTCAGGTGGTGGATAGAGAAATGTCTTCTGTTCGGAAGTTATGAAAACTTCCTTCTACAAGATAGGCACTCATGCCCATGGATCAACAAGCTTCTTTTTTTTTTTTGTTAATGTTCCTTTTTCTTTTTAGTTTGCATTTAGTTCATTTCTTATTTTGTGCTTGTGGTAGGTCTTATTTTGTTGAAATAAACTTTTTTCATCCATTTCATTCATGCTATTCTTGTTGCAAAAAAAACGGCGGCAACATTCGTTCAAGATAATGCTGCAGAACAGGTTACATTGAAGCAAAGCAAATGTGTCAAAGGGACTGGCAATTGAAACAGTTAGCATATTAAACTTCATACTTCTTGGAAGGCTCAGTGATGCGACTGCTGCACCAAAGGCCTCAACCTGCTATATGCCGTTAAAATTAACCAAAATACTCTGATGAATTTGTGCCAACACTGCACGAAAAGCTCGACTCTTGCTCGCTATTTGAGAATTACTCGGAGCTTAGTACCTTGTTGGATCATTATGGTAGGATGGTGCCTGTTCTCAAAAATACAGACTTGATTGACTAACACACTATTTGATTTTACCTTTGTATCGAACAGCGACAGTACACTTAAGTTCCCTAATAGTCCTCATTATTTTAAGTTTGTTGAGGTGGCCACACTAGCTTTAGTGAGTGCACTTCTCGATAGGCTTTGGTACACTGTGGAGAAGACACTCGTACTGTAAACAGCAGTTTTGTCAGGTTTGCTTCCCTGCAACACACTTTCGTACTGGGGGAAGACTTACCTAACGAGCAGGGTATTAAGAAATTAAACATCTGGGATATGGTACATGTTGATCTGACAATAAAACCTTGCAGCAAAATTGTAAAAATTAACTGCAGCTATTATGTAGGTGTGCATGTGACAGGGTTGGGCAGAGATACTACAAAAAGTATTTGGGAATACAAATACTGTGATACTTCCGTTTTGAGGTCCAAAATACAGGTACTGAGATAAATTTGCCTTTTATGTAACGGGATATCCCTGAGATACTTCTGCAAAACGGCAAAAAAGTATTCCGGAATGCAGATACTTATAGAAATACATTTGTTCCCGAATGGTGCTACGTGAGGAGGGTATAATTCGTGGTGAATACGAATGGTAATTTATGCTTGTGCTCCTCTTTTTGTGCCATTTTAAGCACTACCCCTTTGCTCAAACTCTTTATTTATCATTATGCCGCTAGAAAAACATGTCACCCCCCTTGAACCACTTAGTTATAGAACGGTAAAGACTGCGTATCATGCCTGAAAAAATGCGTCTGCCCAAAATGAACATTGTTTTGCCATGAGGGCGCAGAACCAGTGCAGCCGCCGCGTTAGGACTGGCGCTGTGATCGGCTTTCGGAGCGGAAGCACAGGGTGTCGTCTGCATTTGTTAGCTCTTGTTTCACCGCACCACGTTGTATGCTACATGTAATTATTCGCAGTTTGATGAGACCATTCGCATTTCCTTAGTTTTAGTGTATAAAAACGAAGTCTTTTCTGTGGATGTTTCCTTATTCCAGTCT